AAAAAAGATTTTTGCGGTCATTCATAAATGACGTCGTGGAATTTATTCGGAACATACCCCCACCCAATGTTCCCTCTAAGGTTTGTTGGTTCGTGTACAAAATCATACAGTTGTGTACAAAGTTTTACAGCATCATTTTTGTGTGTGTGCAAAATGTTACAGCCCACAAACATAAACTTACATGGAAATTTGCTGCGCGGTGCTCAAAACTGCTGCGCGGCGTCTGTGAGACAGCTGCACGCCCGCGCAGCTTAAAGGGGACATTGCCCCCACCCCTCCTCAATTGTCACAAAGTTAGATGCCCTCATCACAAATTCGTGCCCACCCTACCCTGTCCCGAAATGCATCAAGCAGTGGCGTAGCCAAGGTTAGTGCCAGCCATGGCGACCAGGGCTGTCTTAAACAACAAAGGAGACCCCCGGGCAAGGCAATGCTCCGGGACACCCTTACAACACAACCCACCAGGGTCGAGAGAAGGGAGCGTACGTCCCGGCCACAGACATCATATTACAACACAACCCACCAGGGTCGAGAGAAGGGAGCATTCGTCCCGGCCACAGACATCATATTACAACACAACCCACCAGGGTCGAGAGAAGGGAGCATTCGTCCCGGCCACAGACATCATATTACAACACAACCCACCAGGGTCGAGAGAAGGGAGCGTTCGTCCCGGCCACAGACATCATATTACAACACAACCCACCAGGGTCGAGAGAAGGGAGCGTACGTCCCGGCCACAGACATCATATTACAACACAACCCACCAGGGTCGAGAGAAGGGAGCGTTCGTCCCGGCCACAGACATCATATTACAACACAACCCACCAGGGTCGAGAGAAGGGAGCATTCGTCCCGGCCACAGACATCATATTACAACACAACCCACCAGGGTCGAGAGAAGGGAGCATTCGTCCCGGCCACAGACATCATATTACAACACAACCCACCAGGGTCAAGAGAAGGGAGCGTTCGTCCCGGCCACAGACATCATAAATAAAAATGTTTAAAAAAAATAAAATAAACGTTACATAAAGTGGAAGATAGATTCATTCAATTTATTGATACAAACAAAAAAATATCATTCAAAATCAATAATAGTTTTAAAACATTATCCGAAATAAACTAAAGTGAAGCACAGATGATGATAAATTATCATTTTGACAGGCAAATAGAATAATTTATTTATTATAAATCAACATAACTGTTTGCATAATTTTAACGTTTTTTTAGATTAATAAAGGATCCAAAAACCTAGTTTCTCTGCGTCAAAGTCAATATGCAGTCATATTCTAGCAGCTGTCTTCTCCATTTTCATGTTCTACAATAAGATTGTTATGATTCTAGTCATTGAATCCTGGTGTAGCAAAGAAGAGTCTTTTTTTGACACTAGATGACTTGCAAAACAATACAAACAACCATGGGGTGTTGAATAGAGAAGCCAGTCGCGTTTTACAAACTCGCCATTCCGTAGTTCACATATTCTTTGATTAACACCTTGTCTTAGCTCTTACTTCTCCAGCTCCAGAGTTCACTCTGTCTGAGTTTGAAAGGTTGCAGTCATGAACCTTGTCTTAGCTCTTACTTCTCCAGCTCCAGGGTGCACTCTGTCTGAGTTTGAAAGGTTGCAGTCATGAACCTTGTCTTAGCTCTTACTTCTCCAGCTCCAGGGTGCACTCTGTCTGAGTCTGAAAGGTTGCAGTCATGAACCTTGTCTTAGCTCTTACTTTTCCAGCTCCAGGGTGCACTCTGTCTGAGTTTGAAAGGTTGCAGTCATGAACCTTGTCTTAGCTCTTACTTCTCCAGCTCCAGGGTGCACTCTGTCTGAGTCTGAAAGGTTGCAGTCATGAACCTTGTCTTAGCTCTTACTTCTCCAGCTCCAGGGTGTACTCTGTCTGAGTTTGAAAGGTTGCAGTCATGAACCTTGTCTTAGCTCTTACTTGTCCAGCTCCAGGGTGCACTCTGTCTGAGTTTGAAAGGTTGCAGTCATGAACCTTGTCTTAGCTCTTACTTGTCCAGCTCCAGGGTGCACTCTGTCTGAGTTTGAAAGGTTGCAGTCATGAACCTTGTCTTAGCTCTTACTTGTCAAGCTCCAGGGTTCACTCTGTCTGAGTTTGAAAGGTTGCAGTCATGATTCTGACTAAACGCTGGCCCACTACCACCAATTCAGTACACCACTGTACAAGCATTCTGAATATTCCATAGCCAGCGATCTGTGTCGTGAATCACACTCTCGTTCTCCAACACACCGTTGTGTGTTTCACCTTGTACAATTTCCACAGCAGGTGAAGTAGGTAACTGTATGTCTGGAAATGGCTTGGTGGATATAATATTGGATCGAGATGGCACTACTGTATTTCGAGGAGCAGTACTAGCAATTGCTATTTTGCTTGGATTCAACAAAGATGTTAATTTCCCAAGTTTACCCGCTTTCCTTGTCTCCTTTGCAGCTCTTTTTCTCTTCGGTACCTCACTCATAAAACTAAATTTCATCTCTGCTTAAAGCAGCGGTTCTCAACCCGTGGGTCGCGACCCTTTCCCGGGGGTCACCTAAGACCATCTGAAAACACATATGCTCTAAAGTTATGAAGTAGCAACGAAAATAATTTTGTGGCTAGGGGTCACCATAACACGAGGAACTGTACTAAAGGGTCGCGGCATTAGGAAGGTTGATCAAAATATATTTTAACAAAAATAAACATAAACATATTTCATGTGTCTCGAATAAAATGGATTTGTCTTTCCTTTCAAACTCACAAGTGCCCCGCTAAACAAGAATATTGGGAAATGATTGTTATGTGCAATTGATAGAATCGATCTCTATGTTTGAGCTATGTAATCATGATCTTGGGCTTTGAGTACACATTATGCCTAGGTATATATTTCTGCCTTCAACTCAGACCTACGGCGACTTTTGGGTTCTATTTATCATCTCAATATTGTTTTCAGACGCAGAAAACAATATATTTTTTCAGTTTAGAAAATATAAAGTTATTTGTTCGTTTTTAAAGAAATTTTCTTTTAAAAATTATTATTCACTGGTGACCTCCAAATTCCTTTATATAATGCGAATGCTAATAAATTCATTCGATTAGCAGGTCTACTTGAACTGGTGCTAAAATAGACTTTTCTACACTCATTTCATTACTGAGCAGTGGCGTAGCTAGGGTTATTAACGCCCGGGGTGGGCCACGATTTTTGTTTTGTAGGGCCAAATTCTTACTCTAATTACAAACATGATTGAAAACAAAAATTCATTGATTCATGTCTGTGAAAAGTAAAACGTGTTGAGGAGAGTTATCCCCCTTTAAGAAGTATCCAACTTGTGATTCGCATTTTTAATATTAATGTTCGAACGTGCCGATAACACAGTGGGTTAAATTTGGGAAACGTGCTGTCCACTGACCTTTAAATCAAATTAAATTGCCAAAATCTTTAACTATTCATTATCAATATGGGCAGCATGTTGCCTCTAGTAGTCTGAGTCTCCTAGAAGCATGATGCCCCCTAGAAGCATGCGGTTCCCCTAGAAGCGTGATCAGTGTTTCTTTCAGAAAATTTCCCGGGGGGGGGGGGGGGGACCAGGGGCCAGAGTAAAAATTCCCGGGGGGGGGGGGGAGACACAGGGCCAGCAGTTCCAGTTGATTTATTGTTGGACATATTTTTTCCCTTGGGGGCACTTGGCTCCCCCCCCCCCCGAGATATAGCTGAAAGAAACCCTGAGCGTGAGGCCCAGTGTAAGCCAGTGTAGCCATGCCTTAAACGGGAATGGCGACGGAACACGTTTTTTTTTGCCGCCCCCATCCACGAATAAAACCCAGCAGTTGGACGACAATGCCACTTCAAAATATAAAGAAAAAAAGTGCGAACCAGGGCGAACCATCCCATTAAACTCCATTCCTACGCCACTGGCATGACGTCCTTTATGGATGTCCTCTTTGAGTTTTAGGGAGGTGGCGGCAAGACGAAACAGGTTCGTGGAAGGCCCGCCCCCCCCCCCCCAATCCCACACCGAAATTCAGACTTTGCCCCACGCGCAGCACTGCTTGTCACAGCCCTGGGGTGGAACAACAAAAGTAACCGGGGGGAAGGGGGCTTAAACCCCTAGAATAGATAATAATAGAATGCATTGAATCTGGGTAATATCAAATTTGATTTATTATGATTCAATTAATTTAAAAATGCAACAAATTTTTATGAAGAAACAAAATTAACTAACTTTTGGTTGGAGGTGACAGTTAAACGGCCTTTAGATCAGGCCTGCACAACTCAAAATGTAAGGTGGGACGTAATATTTTATGAAAAACGTGTGTGTGCCGAAAGAAAATAGGACAGGGGGACATCTATTTAGAAAATGATAATAAATAAGAGTATTTCGTTGCTTCGCGGGCCGCAAAGTTGTTCAGGCCTGTTTTAAATAAAGTTTTTTTTCCGGCTTTTTTTTTTTGTTTTTGTTAACTAATATTAATATCTCCATCGCCCACAAAAAAAAAAAAAAAAAAAAAAAAAAAATTAAAAACAAAAAAAAAAAAAAAAAAAAAATTTAACTAATATTAATATCTCCATCGCCCACAAAAAAAAAAAAAAAAAAAAAAAAAAAATTAAAAACAAAAACAAAAAAAACAAAAGCACGAAGGCTTACTTTTAGAATAATTATTACTGACTTTATCCCTAAATGTAGTGTAGCCAGGGCCGCGCAGATGATTTTAGGGCCCCGAGCACATCCAAACTTTGTTGAGTCCCCACATTCATTGCCCACAGTCACATATTTCAAAATTATTTTATCAAACGAAATTGTATCCAAAAACAATTCCACCCTTGGAGGCTCCAATGTTGGCAGTGCCCCGAATTATTTAATCGGTTGTTTCTACCTCTGCACGGTCATATTTTTTTAACACCATTCATAAAAAAATATTTCATTGTCAATAAAAAAATAAATAAAATATCTTGATTGACGTCATCAATTTCGGTTTGTGTTTGTTTAAAACAGGAAGCAACATGAATTGGTGACGACTTCCACCAAATTTTGCTCACAACTTGTTTTCAGTCTATAGAAAATAAGTATATCATTGGATTGCTGTTTTTTAAATTTAGAAATTAATTTTCTGTAAGTCACGCATAAACATTTTAAATACAAACATTAGTCTGTTTTTCAATTAGATCATGTTAATTATGATTTGTTGATTAGAGTAGTCAAGAGCTAGCATTGAGTTATCATGATGACCCCGATCAATTCATTCTCATTCATTCATGTCGTCGTAGAGAAAGTTAGGTCAATCAATTACTTATTTAATAAAAATAAATGTTAAAACTTAAATCAATTATAAAATAATACACAATATTAGTATTAGTAGTCCTAGGCCTGATAGAAGGGCTAGTAGGGCATAGGCAGTACGGCCTAATAAAAGTTAAAAAACAACTCTTAATCATTAAATCTAAATTTTAAATTTAAAAAAGCAAATCTAAGACTAAATAATAACACTAAACTTTTCACAACTATATCTATTCTAATTATTGTAAAGAAATAATTTCGATAAAATTTGGATTACATTTACCCACATTTGCATGGTACACTCTATAACTATAACTACTATACTATAAGTATAAGTAAGAAGCATTTTCAATTTTGGTCTTTGCACGAAGTAAAAAAGGTGCTGATTCGTGAACTGCTGTTCGCTGACGATGCTGCCTTAACATCTCACACAGAAGAAGGTCTGCAGGGGCTGGTTAATCGCCTATCACATGCTTGTAAAGAGTTTGGACTTTCGATTAGCCTACTGAAAACTCATGTAATGATGCAAGAAACACTGTCCCCTCCAATCATATCTATTGAGGGTCATAATCTTTCGGTTGTTGATCATTTCATATACCTGGGATCCAATATTTCTAGTTCTCTTTCCGTTGATGAAGAGATAAATATCAGGATTGCAAAAGCAGCAGCAACTATGGCTAAACTGAATAAGCGGGCGTGGAATAATCTCAATCTAACTGATAAAACAAAAATAAGTGTCTATCAGGCATTCAGGCATGCGTGCTTAGCACGCTCCTATATGATAACGAAGTGTGGATCACATATACCAGTCAGGAGCGGAAACTCACAGCTTCCATCACAGATGTCTGCGTCGCACTTTGCGCATTCGTTGGCAGGACAGCGTGCCTAACGTGGAGGTTTTGGAACGTGCACACATGTTTAGCATATTCTCCTTTCTTATCAAGAGACGCCTTCGCTGGTTAGGTCATGTACGGAGAAGATACTGCTGTATGGAGAGTTGGCAGAGGGGACAAGACATATTGGATGACAGCGCCTGAGATTTATTGACTTTTGCAAACGAAGCATGAGGGAAGCCAATATTGAAACAAACAAATGGGAGTTCATTGCCGAACATGGCTCCAACTGGCGTACAGCAGTGTTTGAAGGAGTCAGAAAGGCAGAAGTTACTCAAAACGAGGCCCTCGAATCAAAAAGAACAATTTGAAAATCAAGAATTTACCGGGATTCAACATTCTCCTGTGAGAGATGCTGCCGTGATTGGCATTCTAAGATTGGCATTCTAAGATTGGCCTAGTGAGCCACTCGTCAAAGTGTAGAACTATATAGGTACTCCATCGTCTCACAAAGACGGAAGGATGCCATATTATTATTATTATAAGCGTTTTCATTTACTCTATGCCTAGTTATACTATTTAATTTATCTTATTGGACAATTTTTGGGTAGAAATAGTGTCTAACTTTCTGTTATTTCCAAATTGTCTGACTGAAATTATAGTGAAATGATGACTGAATAATTTAAAGATTTTTACTTCCATCTGGGGCCAGGCTTTATTTATAATTGATCAAAGTGGGCTAGGCCTAAATATTATGAATAGACTTAATATACTAATACTATAGACTGTACTCTATACAAGTATCAAATCTACTAATACTATACTCTATACTAGTATCAGTAGTAGCCATTAGTATTATTAGTATTACTAACAATAGAAATAGGGCCTGCTCAGACTCATTTGCTACTGACTAACATTACTGGTATGATCTCTAGCAAGTATTAATCCAGACAATCAAAATCAAGTGGTACTAGAAATAGAAAATAAATATTTGTCCAGGCAAATACTGAGTTAGTAGAGCATGACACATTTTTAATTTTTTTTAAAAAAAAGAACCAAATATTTCAATTGAATTACTTAAGATCTATAAGGCCTTTCCTGTGTCCAGACCTGTCATAAATAACTTTCCTTAAGTAAAAATATTCAACCATTTAGAGTCACTGAAATGAAAGTCAATTTCATTAGCTGGATTCTTATTGCTGTAAATAAGCAAGGATTTATATTTTATATAATTTTTATTTCAACTTTAAAAGTTTCAATTTAGATTAAATTATAATTTTAACCCAGCTTTTCATATTACTCAAAATTTTTGTATTTTAGCTTAAAATTTTGGACTGAAGCGAGTAAAGCCAGCAAATATGCCCGCCTTACTAGAGCGGCCAAAAATGACAAGAGCCATGTATGAGGCCTTGAAACGGCACATCATGCGTGAGAGGGAAAAGAAGAAACAAGGTACAAAACCTGAGGATTTAATTTAAATTTTACATTAAAAACTTAATTTTCAATTTAAAAACTTAATATTTAATTCTAATGAAGCTTATCTTTAATTCAGTTAACTTAAATTCCTATTTAAGAGCAAGAACAAGATGCAATGATGGAAAGATTAAAAAAGGAAAGAGAGTTAAAAAAGAAAAAGGAAGAGGAAGACAGTCTTACCCTTGAAGAAACTAATGAGCAGGTATTTGGATCACGTGCATGATGTGCTAATTATTTACAGCAGGGGTTCTTCACCCTTTTTGCTGCTCCGCACCCCCAATTGATTCAAAAATATTTCCAGTATCCCTATCTTGATTTTAAAAAAATGTTTCCCTGACCCCCCACACACAATAAAATAAATTGCATTAAAAAATGCAAAGGAACCTGTTTTTTCTGGGTCTTTCCACCCCCACTGATAGGGCTTCCAACATCCACCCCTGGTTAAGAACCCCCACTGTGCAGCGATTATAACAGAGGATAATATTCTTTTATGGATCCCAAAAAATGGCATGTTTTTGATTACATTGAACATATTCAGTGTCAGTGTATAAAAACGTACCATTCTTTTTTCTGAGGTTTGTTTTCTTTAAAAAATGTTTGTAGCCCTTCTTCTTAGCCTTATTCACTCCCAATGGAGCATAGGTCATCCACAATACTTAAACATCTGTCCCTGTCCTGGGCTATCTTTGCTAGTTCAGCCAAACTTTTCATCATTCTCTTCACCTCTGCCTCTAATCCCTTCTTTCTCTTTTCCTGGTACCTTGGGGATTCAAATTAATGTATGAGTAGAATAAATCACTGCCAAGCAAGCATGTCGTAAGAATTATTACTCTATTTAGTATACAAACATGTTAAAAAAGCATATTGAAAGAGTGTTCACTGTAACATACATGAGAGGAGGGGAAGAGTTGTTTGTCTCTTTAAATAGTATGTCATCTCAAAGAGGTATAATGATATTTTAAAAAGATGTTATGGTTAGTTTGTAATTTGGTTTATTTTTTTACTATGTGGGTACAACTTATTAAATGTTTCCCTAATTTAAAGTTGTGTTATTTTACATTTTTTTTTCTTGCAAGATTTCTCAACTTGAGAAGAAACTAGAATTTCTAAAAGGCCAGAAGCATGATCTTTTCTCACAATTGAAGAAGGTTCTTCATCAGGAAGATGAAACAAGACGCAGAGCTCAGCAGAAGGAGCAAAGGTTTGTCTTTCTGCTATTTCTTGATCTTTGAGGTGGATATATTGAATTAAAAATTGAACAGATTATATCATTATTTACTTATCTTTAAAACTATGGTACTTAAAGCATGGAATGTTCAAAATGTAATTTTAAGTACATGTAAAAAAAAGTGGTTTGATTTTAGATTTAAATTAATAATAAAAAATACATGTTAAAAATAAAAGTTTTATTTTGTTATTATAATTTATTTTATTATTCTTACTGCTGACTTGCTAGTGAGATGCCCATATCCCAGCCACCCTACCAACATCCAGGTCTGACTGTTGCCACTCAGCCTATGATGATGCATGGTCGACCAGCTTTGTACAAGCCAACTGCACCAGCACCCATCTTGACAGTAAAGCCTTCATTTGTTAAATTTAGCACTTTATATCTAGCTAAATAGTCGTGTTTACAAGGAGGAACATGTATGGTAATCTTATCATCAGATTCACTAGAGTAGTTATGTCTCTATTGGAAAAAAAGAATGTGAATCCTTACACAAACAATTAATTGAATTTGTCCAAACTCTCATCGTTGAATCTGATGTGGATACTGACTGCATTGAACAACATATTAAGTAAATACAACTGAATATTAAGCTTTTTTAAACAATAACGTTTAAGAGAAATGTCCTTTCAACTAGGAAATGAAAAAAAAAAGGAATTATTGGTGGTTTAGTCATTCTATTATAATACAAAATATAAATGAAAAAAAAATCTTGCTTTCGGTGGTTGTGTGAGAATATCATATTACTTGAGAAATGTAAAAAACAAGAAATGTTTTTTTTCCCCCCCTCTCTAGGGAATGAAGAGACAAAGAAGTCCATCCCCACCTCCTTCCTCATCATCCAGCTCCTTCCAAGGGTATGGGCACAGTGAGCCGAAGTACCCTCACACCGCTGATGGCAAGTACACCCATTCAGCTGAGGGCAAGTACCCCCATACAGCTGATGGCAAGTACACACACGGAGACTCCAAGTATGTGTCTCACGCAGACACAAAGTTCCCTCATGCTGATCCTAAGTACCTGGCATCTTTCTCCACAGCCAAAACTGGACCAGCTCACCTGTACACAGCCCAGCATCCGCCAGCTTCTGACTTCAGTGAGTTCTAACATCACACCATTCCCCTTTTTTAAAAAAATGTTGTGTCTTTAAGTGCTATCTAACAAACCAAAAGCACCTCTGAAAGAATGGGTCAATAAGTGTCATATACGTTTTGATTTGACTCCCAGTTGATGCTAAAAGATCTGGGTTTGGATGGTATCAAAGAATATTGTAAGAGGTATTAAGTAGTGTTGAATATATTAGGTATTCTAAAATAATTTGTATTTAAATTTATATAATCCAATTATTTTTATGTCTCTTGTCTCCACAAAACTCAATTTATTTCAACTATACATAATGATAAAACATAATAAAAATTAACTGCATACACTTTTTAGAGTGATTAGAAATGGCTTGCTAACCAAGCATTCTACAGATATTTTCACTTTTTTTTTAATGTAACAAATAAAGCACTGTTTTTGTGCTTGTTCATTATCAGAAAACTCAGCCTACCAGCAGCCTGGAGCAGGCCATTTATTCACGGCCAATCAAAGTTTCCAACAGCAGGCAACGGCTAGCTCATATCCCAGTAGTCAGTCGAGTGGTAGCAAATACCCCGGGCCTGGTCAGTCAGCATTCACCTCATACCAGAGTGCCTTTGCACAGTCCCACCCGCAGAAAGCTTTGACGGACCAGTTCTCTGCAGCTTATCCTATACAGCGGATGCAGCAGCCTGGTATTTTACCTTTTACTTTGTTACTCTTTATTATTTATACATCTTATTCTTAGTCTTGTGTTAACATCATTCATTCTAACACTTGCATGCCCTTAGTAACATTGATAACATCAACCTCTTGCAGGTTACCATTCTGGTCTTCAGCTGCAACAAAATCTGGAACATACAGCACAAAAGCAGGCAGGCTTTGAGGACAAGTTCAAAATTGGACAGGTATGGTGAATTACAAGAACAACTGCATTTCATCTATAAGATAAAATACTCAATATATCCTTGAGTCTCAAAGCGAGATGTTTAGGATAACACCATTTTACTGTTTTTCTTCTGATTATGTTATAGAACATTGTAACAATAAATCATAATGACAGGACACATTATCCCGGTACTGTAAACTGGCAAAAAATTTTAGTGCCGAGTGAAACCATTGCTTAATAACAATGAGCCATAATTTGCTTGTGAACCAAAAGGTAGCACATTTTAAGATACTAATTTTTTTTATTGTTACTCTATTCCAGTGGCTATTAATAATTAATGAATACCGTAACTCATTTCATAATTTAAATTTCTAAGACTCAGATAAGAGGTATGGTCCCTCCCCAACAACAGGCCGCCTTGTCTCAAGCTCTGCAACTGCAGCAACAACAGCAGCAACAACAACAGCAGCAGCAGCAGCAGCAACAGGCTAAAGTAAGAAGTTGGCAATAGCAAGGATAAGTAAATAAATAGTATTTATAATACTCACAAATATAACCATAATGTAACATCGGTTTCAGAAAGGGAAAAGATCTACGATATGATTGTCAATAACAAATATATACAATTATGAGTGTTGTGATTAAAGCGCTTTATTTTCAATGTTTCAATATCTCTTATGATTAGTAAGCATAAAAAAGTTATCTCTATTAAAATTAAAAGAGTTGCGTAACGAAGATTTCTTGAAAAATTAAAAATTTTGAATGTAGTGAACGCCTTCATATTTTGTTGTAGTTATAGGCACAGCTGCTGTTCAAATAATAATATTTGGATTGTAATCTGCAGAATGCTGGCACATTTCCAGGCTACCCTGCACGCAGCCAAGCAGCCCCTTCGGCAGTCAACTACCCTGCCTCAACCAGTGCAGTAAGTCTGGCTCTCTCTCTTGCTTTTTCATTCTTTGATTGTGTATCAACCTCCTAGTGAGTGAGGCTATGTCTTATTTTGATTTATGAACTAGTGCAATGGTCTCTGAAAAAAAAATAAATAAAAACTATTTAGGGGTCGTTCGTAAATTACGCTACGCAAAAAAATGACCATTTTAGGGCAAACCCACCTAAAAAAATCAAAACAAACATAAAGTTTTCATAAATAAACTAAGATACTATTTTATTCTTTAACATTTTCCCCATTATGGATTAAGATGTGCTTTATTAGAAAACTGTGACACGAAACAACGAAGTCATCCAAAAGCTGAATGTAAAGTGGCCTCAACAGTTTTTGTGTTATTTTTCGATACGCACTAAAGGTGTGAACGACTGAGAACCTATAATACCTTAGGCAATTTCCACCTCACATTAACGTTTTTAAAATTAATTAAATAAAGATTTTTCAAAATTATATTGTATTGTAATCTGCAGAATGCTGGCACATTTCCAGGCTATTTCATCTCTTTACTTTGTTTTTGTCAGGTTTAAGCGCCCTCTCCTATATTTTCTTTATATTTTTTCTGTTTTAGGGTAGGATATATATATTGACATTATGTAAATTTAATTTATACTTATTTAAATGTGTTGTGTTTGTTTGTACTGATGAAGGCATGTGCCGAAACGTTTAATTCTGTATAATGTACAATTATTATTAAAGCTAACTCATATTGTTCTATTGACACAATTTGTTCGTGTCTTATTAATAAAATTCAAAATTATAACATTTAGATTTTTTTTGTTTAAAAGTGACGGCAAATTTTTTTTACACCCCCTTCCCCCGCTATGTAATTTGCGAACGACCCCTCAGTGATTTCAAAATAACTAAAAAATTAATGTGATATTTTAAAATCCCAAAATACACACCTTCTATTTCTATTGAAAAAAATCCTTTTAACGAGTTAGGGCTGATGTTTTAGTATAGCTGTTAAGAAATAGTTGTGATATTATTGCCAAATAATTTGTAAATTTGCAAATTCAATTAAATTGGATTCAATTTAAGGGTTATTCACTCTGCGTCGTATATGGACAAAAGTTGTCACTTTTACACTCTAAATAAACAGTATGCTTTAAAAAGCACAGTACTGGTTTCAATTTGACCCTACTCTCCTTGAGCTGGTTGGGATTAATTGCTTGTCATGTCTAATCATAATCTAAAGCCAGCTTAAAATGTATGCCACCTGTTTCAGAGCACCTACTCCAACCAAACAAGTGGACAGGGCAGATCAAACTACGGGAATCAGTCTCATGGTCGATACTACTAGTGGGCTGTACAACCAACTGCAGATATGAGGTGGAGCTATTCAAAACAAGTTTACTTTTTGTAGTCATGGCAATGTTTATTTGGAGAGCTCGTTGCTTTTAATTTAAAATTAAATCTATATCATCATGCCAGGACACCTACTGGTCTCGGATTTTTGTCAGTGCTTTTATGATATGAGCCTCAATTGGCCAACATCATTCTTTGGTTATTCAAAGAACCTGGGTCTGTCATGAAAACTGTACTTGTGTTGGCTTTTAAGGCTTTAATATAGCACATTGTTTTATTTCCTCTCTGAAGTAAGAAAACATTTGAAGGCAAGAGTCACATTTGTTTATTTTTGTGATCTACAGTTTCAATACAAGTTTTTTTAAGGATAAGATTGTTAGTTAAAGTTGAATTAGTTTAGTAGATAAAAGTAAGATTGTTTAACTATCTCTGAGACTGGCACCATGGCTGTGAAGCTAGTTGAAAAAGGCTGTTTTACTCAGGTATCTCAGCTATCACCTGAGCTGATGGTGTCATCCAAATATGAAATTTACGTGTCAGCAGTGCTGGAGTAAGAAAGGTTATAGTGTGTGGCTTGGAATTGTGCCATGAAAAAGTATCTCACCCCGATAATTACTGTGGTTGGTCATTGATAATTACTGTGGTTGGTCATTAGGGACCGCAGTTGCAGCTGATGAAACCTGTGTGTGGCTCAGGTTGTCACGAAACCTGTGTGTGGCTCAGGTAGTCAGTAAACCTATATGTGGCTCAGGAGTCATGAAACCTGTGTGTGGCTCAGGTAGTCATGAAACCCTCAAACAAGGGTAAAATGAGGGGCACAGAATGTCTTTGCATGTGCCAACACATTTAGTTAAACCCCCTTCAAAAGTTCACAGCTGTGTGAAACAATGAACCATGAAATATTAATTTAGTTTAGAATCTCTGGTAACAGTCCAGAGTTTACTTGTTTTTGTTATAGTGAATGTGAGTTTTTATTAAGTGATAACACTATGGTATATTTAGAAAGTGTGCAATACTTTTTTTTTTACAAGTTACAGATGCAAATTTTGTGTTCGCTTGGAAATAACAAACAGAAAGATGAAGCTAAATATTGTCAACTTATTACTTATATTGACTTTGTATAATTTCACAATTAAGTTTTTAAGCATGTTTATTTGTTTTACATTTAGTATGTAATGGGCAAATAAAAATTTATAAGAAATAACCATGTCTCGCCACTTTTTATGGTTTAATTATTTTCATTGTCATTTTACAGATATGAATATAGTATATATTTTACTAATAAGCACAATGAACACTTATCTTAACAACACAATCAATAAATACAATTTTTATTAAATAATTTGTGAGATAACTATCTTGGAATAATTTGTTCCCAAAAAAATAACATAATCGACAGAATGGTAATTTTATGAGCTAATATTTATGGTTCAGCCGAACGTTTCTTCCACTAAGCCTGTCCCAAACTTGTTTTATGTCTCTAGAATAGGGTGACCAAATGTCCAGTAAAAATGGGATTGTCCCGTTTTTTCACGATCCTACCCGGTGTCCCAAAAAAGTCTCTGGGGACGCCTGAATGTCCCGTTTCTAAAACCAAACACAATGTCAAATCTTAATAACTTCCTAATTTATAATATAACTTCAAGTTATATTTTGGCTAGCTGTGTAGCCAGTGCCAGCAGTGATGTGGGCTCGCGTAATGGTTTATAACAGTTTTAAAAAGCAAAGTAACTGGTACCTTCAACCGATTAGAATCAAAAGAGTCTAATAAATATTGCTCAATTATTTGATTCATTGTATGTGGGCATTAGGCTTTACAAATATAGTTACTAGGCTAGCATGATATTAAATTGACTTGATTACATGTATGTTTAGCTAGAAACAATTGACATATATTTTTAAACTTAAGGATTTAACTAGCGCATACAAACAGTGCATTTTTTGGGATGGAAACCTTTTTTTTTAAATAAAAAATTCATTTATGAAGCAGCTAATCCCAAAATAATGTAAAAGAACATAAAAGCTACATTACTTTTTAGTAATATAAAAAGTATTTGCATTACACAAGCAGATCAAGCAGAGCTGTCACTCAGCTTTTCGAGGCCTCATGACTCTTTTCAGTTTTGTCCTCTCCACCTTGCATTGAAAGGTGATAATTAGAAAAATATCCTTTAAGTCTCCCATCTTTAAGTTTAAGCCCCTAAAATATCCAATGCCCCTTGCAGTCAATGGAGTTGCTGGGCTCACACGATGATTCTAAGGTTAAGTAAAACCCACATTTTTAAACCAGCATTTTCCGTTGCTCTCTAATTAACAAGAATTTTGCAATATTTAATTCAGATATGTGCTAAAATGCATACCTGTATTTTAAATTTATCAATAACTTTCTGGAGACTTTAAAGATTTAGGGGGTGAGAATAAGCTACTGCAAAAGCATACCCTCAAGGGCGACAGACATGTAATGGATTTTTGTTCATGTCCCGTTGGGGTGGAGCCATAGATGTCTTTGATCGTCATTATGACTAATTTTGGCGCTTCTAATTTCTAACCCAAAATTTTGAAATGCCATCTTAAAATTGACTAAACGAAGCACGGAATTGAAATATGCACCCTGCATTTTGAATTTGCTCGACTGTCTTCAGCATCCTCAATTTCTGCACGCTTTCCCTTTCGCTGATCAATGTTACAGCATGGGATTGAATGTAAGCTTGTGCCAATGATTACACTGGGGCACGCAACAATAGGAGATAACTCAGTTTATTTTTTGCACTGGGCACCATAATGCCTCCTCGGACCCATAAAAATTTCCTTCCCCTGTTCAAAAAAGTACAATAAAAAATATTGAATTCAAGTATGCTAAAAAATGCACCTCTTGATTTTGAAATTGTTAAAAATTTTCGGCGAAGGAGGCTCCCCGGACCCCTTCCCCGATCAATATTCACCGGCACCCTCAATTTGCGCACGACTTCCCGATGAAAATGATTGCTAAGTTTTGATGCTGATAGATACACTGCCTAGTGGAGTAGCCAGTATTTTTGCCTCTCTCTCCCTTTCATGATACAAATTCCGCAGTAGTTCAAAAATGTCGCACCGCCATATAAAGAAAAAAAAAGTAACACCTGGGTGGACCACCCCATCCACCCTTTTCTTCGCCACTGGCAAGTGCGTAGCTACAGTGTTTGGTGTCAGAGACAAGATTCGCTTTCACGCCCTTTCCCCCGAAACCCATTATTTTCAATAATTAAATAGCATCAAAGTCCATTTTGGAGCACCCGCTAGTCTGGGGCCCCAGGACTATAATTTATTCCCAACTGCCACCTCTTAGGTAAGCCTCTGGCCACTGTGAACTGGCACTGCTCCCCCAGCCCCCAAAATAATACATCTGAAATGCATACCCCCCTCCCTTGGGAAAAATGTCTAAAAAAACACTGGACTCGTTACATCACATTCATTAAATTTTCAGCCCCCACCGCAAAAAAACAAAAAAAACAGTTGTTCCCGTTTTCAAAGGGAATATGAAAGAAATGTGATGACACCGATTTCACGAAAGAAAATTCCCGATAACTGCGCCTATGGAAATACCTATTTTAAAAAAAATATTGCAAGTGCGTTTGATGGGTGATATGTGCTTTTTGTTTTTATGAATTAGTTGGTAAAATAAATCTGTTCTTTTAAAAGCTGGTGGTTCATTAAAATATTTATATAGTTCAGGTCAGGGGCATGAAAAAAAAGTGCGTTTGCGAGCCTTGGGGAAAGAGAGCGGGGGTATTAATCGTGATTCTCATAAAGTGCATTACTTGTATGCATATTTTGTCAAATTTTCAGCTTTGTTTTAAGGGGTTGTTTAATTGATATTATTGATGACCCATGATTTTGGGTTAAATTGTAACAAAAAAATTGGTAAATGTTTGTTTTAATTTATTCTATATAATTCGTGCATCTTATAGGATTGCACCGAAATATGATGAGTTAAAAAAAAAGAAGTTTACAAGCTGACAAGTCGTTATTAGTGGCTCGGCAGCTAGCGAAACCACACATCTTTTGGTAAACCGGATACAGTGTGATACAGTGTTTTTTTTTCAAATTTTGGCTTATCTTGATGGTCGCGTCTCGGCCCGTTGGCTAAGATCAGGATGTAGTCTCTGTTCTAATCCCTCCTGGTTACCAGATCTGGTGGAATGAACATGATTACCCGCTTTGTTTTCAGCTCGGGTCGAGACGCTCGGTAATAAAAGAACAAATGAGAGACCCAAAACTAAAGTCTGATACTTCTTGGCCCATTGGCTAACATTCAGTCAGGATGTAGGCGGCATTAAAGAACATTAAAGAGAGCCACAAGGCCAAGATAACAAAAAATCTGATTGCCTCTCAGCCTGTTGGCTAAGTTCAGGATGCGGTGTCTGTTCTTATCCCACAGGGTTACCAAACCTAGTTGGGTGGACGTGATATCTCGCTTGTTTCTTTAGCCTGGCTGGGTTGGGACAATCGGTAAGAACATTGAAGAGAGCCACAAGGCCAAGATAACAAAACAAATCTGATTGCCTCTCGGCCTGTTGGCTAAGTTCAGGATGCGGTGTCTGTTCTTATCCCGCCGGGTTACCAAACCTGGTTGGGTGAACGTGATATCTCGCTTGTTTCTTCAGCCTGGCTGGGTCGGGACAATCGGTAAGAACATTAAAGAGAGCCACAAGGCCAAGATAACCCCCAAAAATATGATTGCCTCTCGGCCTGTTGGCTAAGTTCAGGATGCGGTGTCTGTTCTTATCCCGCTGGGTTACCAAACCTGGTTGGGTGAACGTGATATCTCGCATGTTTTTTCAGCCTGGGTAGGGACGATCAGTAAGAACACTAAAGGGAGCCACAAGGCCAAGATAACAAAAAATCTGATTCCCTCTCTCACATGCAACCCCCCCCCCCCCCCCCCACCCCCCCCCCCCTCCCNCTCCAGCAGTATCACTGGCAGTGGTCAGCAGTATCACTGGCAGTGGTCAGCAGTATCACTGGCAGTGGTCAGCAGTATCACTGGCAGTGGTCTGCAGTATCATTGGCAGTGGTCAGCAGTATCACGGGCAGTGTTCAGCAGTATCAAAGGCGGTGGTCAGCAGTATCACCGGCGGTGGTCAGCAGTATCACTGGCAGTGGTCAGCAGTATCACGGGCAGTGGTCAGCAGTATCACGGGCAGTGGTCAGCAGTATCACCGGCAGTGGTCAGCAGTTTTACGGGCAGTTGTCAGCAGTATCACAGGCAGTGGTCAAGGTGAGGGAAAAGGAGAATTTGCCACTTTGAGTAATATAAATCATGAAAAACTACTATTAATTAAATGAAGCACTAAGCTCTTAAATACTTAAATCAAATTTTAAACAAATATCTATGTGAAATTTGATATCCCTTTTTTTTTTTTCATTCACCAATGACAAGTGGCAAAAATGTTAGCAATTGTTGGTACTATTTGTGTACTCAAAGCCCGCCTAATCTCATTCTTTGCCTGTAATAACACAACAATTCAGTATCTGCAGTATCTGTATTTGTCTTGAGGAATTCTACTGCAGAGTTGTCTACTGCAGTACTCTATGACCTGTTCCATTTTCGGATCTGTGTCCCCTGTAGCCACAATAGTTTAGTCAACAGTGTTTTGAAAGCAAAAGGTGATAGTTTAAATATCTTGCCGCACGCATCACAATGATGCCATCATTTTTGGGTCCCTCATTCTCATTGACATAGCCATGCTGATCCTAACATTAAAAAAATAGTTTTGAAATCCCCAGTTTGAATGTTTCCAGATACCTCGGAAAAATCTGTCATTCAGAATAGTTTTCCAATTTGTAAATTCCATCTGCTTTAACTTCCATAAGCCAGTCCATTACCTGAAGACTAGTGTAGGCGGAGGCAATTTCAACAATTTTTTTTTCAACAGACATGTAGAGATGAAATTTCATTATAAAGAAGCAGTCATTATACAAGGCTATAAAATTTTATAAATATGCACACATATACCATAACATTTGTCAGACTGGAAGCTTATTATATTATTAAATACAATGAAATTTTCATAAAGAATAATTTTTAATGGAATTGGAATATAGAAAATGTATCTTAAACAAAATTTTTTTGGTCCAAACCAAATTCACCACACTAAAAGGGTCCATTTTCCACATGTGTCAGTTGACAATAGGGTTGCCTACTCAGGGCTTTCAACATTTTACATGAGA